TTACATCTCACACGTTTAATGATTACTGCACAACACTAGGCATTGATGTTGAACACCATGTTCCTCATGTCCATACTTAAAATGGTTTAGCATAGGCATTTATAAAGCAGCTTCAATTAATAGCTCACATTTTTCTCATGAAAACAAAATTGCCAGTTTTTGCATGGGGACATGCCATCTTACATGCTGCATCATTGGTTCAATTGAGACCCATAGCTAACCACCAATACTCATCAATACAACTCATGTTTGGGCATTAGCAAAATATTTCACATTTATGAGTTTTGGTTGTGCTATTTATATGTTTATTGCACCGCCACAACGCATTAAAATAAGGCCTAAGAGTAGACTGGGAATTTATATGAGTTTTGATTCATCATCTATCATTAGATATTTGGAACCCTTGACAGATGATATGCTTACAGCTCAATTTGCGGATTGTCATTTTGATGAGACAGTCTTCCCGTCATTAGGGGGATAAAAGAAAATTCCAAAAGAACAGCAAGAGCTGACATAGGTTGTATCTACCTTATCTCATTTTGATCCACGAAGTAGTCAATGCGAAAATGGAGTGAAAATGATTATTCATCTTCAAAGTATTGCTAATTAAATGCCAGATGCATTTATGAATCTTCGAAAGTGACAAAGTCACATATACTAGCTACAAATGTGCCTGCAAGAATTGATGTCAATGTTGGACAAAATAAAGTGGCAGTGAATGATTCATCCAGTGCAAGCCTGAAGCGTGGTAGACCTTCAGGTTCAAAAGATTCAACCCCTTGAAAGAGAAAGATAAGGGCACAACTCAATCCAAATGAAATCATTTAGGAAAAGAAAATGAATGACAAATCCACAATTTATGATTCTGAACTTTCTAAAAAAGAAAATGTCCTTGATGAGACACATGTCCCTGAAAAGACAGAGGTACATGAAAGCAAAGAAATCTTCATAAATTATGCATGTACTAACGAATTATGAGATCAAAATGAAATAATCATTGACAACATGTTCACTTTCCCAATAGCCACTGAAGTATATCAAGTGATGATATTGAGCCCCTCTATGTTGATGAATGCAAACAAATACATAATTGGCCTAAGTGGAAGGATAAAATCCAGGTAGAATTAAATTCCTTGGAAATGCGAAGTGTTTTTGGATAGGTAGTCCAAACCCCACTTGGTGTAAACCCCATGGGTTACAAATGGGTATTCACAAGGAAACGCAACGAGATTGCAAGATATATAAAGCACGACTCATTGCACAGGTTTTTCACAAAGACCTAGAATTGATTATGAAGAGACATACTTTCCCGTAATGGACGCAATTACTTTCCGTTACTTAATAAGTTTGGTGGTTTCAAAAAAACTTGACATGCAACTTATGGATGTCATCACTGCTTATCTATATGGAGAATTAGATACTAACATATATATGAAAGTCCCAGAAGGACTTTAAGTTGCCTAAAAAGACTAACAAACCATGAGATATGTTCTCAATTAAATTAAGACGATCATTATATGGGCTGAAACAATCTGGACGAATGTGGTATAATTATCTTAGTGAGTATTTGATCAAAGAAAGATATACCAACGATGTCATATGCCCTTGTATGTTCATTAAGAAATCAAATAATGGATTTGCTATAGTGGCAGTATACGTCGATGATATGAACCTAGTTGGAACTCTTGAAGAGCTCAATAAAACTGTTGAATATCTAAAAAACAAATTTGAAATGAAAGACCTCGGGAAAACAAAATATTGTCTCAGCCTGCAGATCGAGTATTGTGCTAATGGAATTTTGGTCCATCAATCAGCTTACATTGAAAAATACTGAAGTGATTTGGCATGGACAAGGCTTATCCACTTAGCACCCCAATGGTCATTCATTCTTTGAACATTAAGAAAGATCTATTTTGTCCAAAAGTAGATGATGAAATCGTCTTTGGCCCAAAAGTACCATATTTGAGTGCAATATGTGCTTTATTGTATTTAGCACAATGTACTAGACCAGATATAGCTTTTTCAGTCAACTTGTTAGTAAGGTATAACTCTGCTCCAAAAATTCATCATTGGAAGGGAGTCAAAGTTGCATTACAATACCTTCGTGGGACAATAGACATGGGTCTCAAATTCACAAATGACCAGATCCTTGTTGGATATACATATGCTGGTTTTATCTCTGATCTGCACAAAGCCCGTTCACAAACTGGACATGTGTCCACTAATGGAGATACAAGAATTTCATAGCGCTTAACAAGGCAAACATTAGTTGCTACATCTTCCTATCACTCGGAAATACTTGCTTTACATGAAGCAAGTCGTGAATATTCTTAGTTAAGATCAATGATCCATCACATCCGGAATTCATGAAGTCTATCTTTAAAGACAGACATTCTAACTGTCATCCATGAAGATAATGCAGCCTGTGTTGCCCAAATGAAGGAATGATTCATCAAGGGCGATAAGACTAAACATATATCTCCAAGGTTTTTCAATGCACATGAGCTTGAAAAGGCTATAGTTATTGAAGTCAAACAGATCCGTTCCAATGAAAATCTGGCATAGTTGTTCACCAAAGTGCACGTTTCAAGCTAATGCAGGGAATTACGTCAGCTTACCAATCAACTAAAATTTGAAGAATGCGGAATCAATGGGAGATACAATTCAATGGGAGCATTCATGATACATGCATGTTGTACTCTTTTTCCTTCGATTAGGATTTTTCCCACTGGGTTTTTCCTATCAAGGTTTTAACGAGGCAACATAAGCATGTTTAACGCTCTATCAACAGTTCGGGTAAAGTTGTACTCTTTTTCCTTCACTATAGGTTTTACCCAATGGGTTTTTCCAAGCAATGTTTTAATGAGGCAACTGATGTTGATATGTGGGCATCCAAGGGGGAATGTTGTAAATAATAGGATTGTATGCCCACATGCCAATAATATCTCTATCATATGCCTAATATTGTAGTTTTGTAAGCTTTCAATGAAGTTGCTCTATATATAGAGCACTATGAGTGAATCAAAATACACAGCAAGAAAAGAAAAGTTGGAATAATTTAAGTACCCTTCCATTTCTCTTTCATCTGTAATCATTTTGTGTTATAGTTACGAAACAAAACATCGTGATATATTGCACCCACTTCGTCCTTGTACTTAGCAAAAGTTATTTCTCTAACTTTTGCCTATTTATAACACATACAACTCTACATCCTACTTTAAGTCTTTTAAGGTACAATGAATGAATCTACATTGAAAAGCAAAAACATTAACAAAAATAACATAAGAGTTCCAAAGTAGGCAAAGGTCTCCAGATTGGCCAACATTTAGTGCAACAAAATACTTATAAAAAAAAACCATTATAAATACCCCTAGGCACCTTTGTAAAGCACGATTTGGGTTATGTTAAACAACACAGATCTACACGAGGGTCTTAGAGGATCTTCACGTACATACTTTTAGGCCTCCAGTGGTCATGGGACTACCTCAATGTACATCTGTTTGTTTTACTTTCTACATACTATTTGTTAATTTGTGTCTTTTTATGTTCTTTAATTTATTCGATTTAGCTGTGAAAAATTGAGAGAAAATGTGTGGATGTAAAACAAAAGTGTGTGAATAGTACCACCCTTAAAAAAGTGCAATTTAAATGATTAAGAAGGTAAAATATACCGAATTAACTTTTAAAACGGTAATATTAAGAAGACCAAAATTTTAAACATAAATAATGTGTTACCAAAATTTGATCCTTGTATTCTTCTTTTTAAAAATTCGTAAACGGGCGAATTTACTCTCTTAAGACTATCTCCAATGGTTGGGCTAAAAGCCAAATTTTTTAAGCCCGGAAACAGCTTTTCTGTTCCAACCATTATGGGCTAAAATTTTAGCACATAATTATTAAATAATGAAATTAGGCTATTTTTTTCTTAAATTAAATTTAAAATAAAAAAATAAATATGTATACTATCGTAAATTAATTTTATGAACATTTTAATCTAAAATATATTTAAATTCTGATAAATATTGAAAAATCACTAAATTTTCCACAAAGCAAGCCTTCGACTTTCACCAATCTTTCAACCCTGAGCTAACTTTCAATTCATGTTCAACTTATTTTGATTTGTGCCAACTGCACCATCTTCGCTAACAGAAACTCATGCCAAGCATAAAGCAACATCTTCCTCACAGGTCCAATTACAACCTCTAATATGCTCTCTTGCCATATTGAACAATTTGGAAATGGAAAGAAATGGTAGAAAGATAAATTGGAAGAATTGTAGGAGAAAATTGAGTCTTGTGTAGTTGTTTGAACAATACATAGGTATTTATAGAATTTTTGGGTGAATTTTGAGTTAAATATTTTTTTTAATTATTTTAGTCGTTGGATTTAAATTTAGGTTGTTAGATCTTTTTTTTTTTTTTTTACCATTAGATTTGATTATATTTGATCTCAACCATTGGATTCAATGTATTTTAAAATAACATATTCTAAAAAAAATAAATTTGAATTTAGACCGTTAGATCAACCAACGGCCCTTAAACCCCAGCCATTGGATGTCAATTATAGCCGTTGGGATGATGATGTTGGCCAACAACCAGCTAACTGCGGGGCCCACCCCTGTCGGGAAAGCATTGCAGGCCCAGTGCGTGGGGCGTATACGTGTGTGGGCAGGCCGAGAGTGGCCCAAGTTCCAGCGAGTCCACTCGCATGCAGGGGAATTTGGGGGGTATTTGGGAGGTATTTGGCCTAGCTTCGGCATTTGGCTTTTAGCCCAAAAAATTGAATTGGGTTGGAGTGGGTTGGGGGGGGGGGTGAATTGGGGGAAATTTGGCTTTTAGCTCATTGTTGGAGATGATTTTTAAGTGTTAGCTGCGGAGTTGTAATTTCGACCGTTGGATGGAACCAACGGCGTCGATGTACGTAAGCGCAAAACTCAGCCGAATTTGACTGAACATGAACCCCGCTCGAAAAGAGAGAGACCCAACTGAAAAATCAGGGACTGCCCTTACCCCGCTTGAAGAGCACAAGCTCTCGCTTTCGTATTCGGATTCCAGAATGCTCAAATTTCTCAGGTTCCTACTTCAAATTTAATCCCTCTCGGATTCATACTTTCCGTCTCCACTCTCCTTCCTCAAGAAACGAATCCGCTTCTGGCATTCTGCATACATCCTACTGCAGTTCTCAGAACTAAATTCTGGGTTGAGAAAGTTATCAAATCCCAGTAAGTCTCTTTTTTTATAGTTTGGTTTTTATTTATTAATTTTTATTAAATTCCATTATTCAGTATGGTATACTGGTTCAATTCCATTATTCAATTTATGGTTGTGAATTTTTATGTCTTTTTTGCTGTATTTGTAGATTTTTTATTTGTTAATTTATTTTAAACAGATTAAATTTTCGCTCTTTACATGCTTTGTTACGCTCTAGTTGTTCAAGTCTGTCGATTGTTTGATGGGTTTTCTCTCAATTCATGAAAAGAAACCATATCTATGAGAAGGCCATGCTGTGTTAAAACTCTAAATTTCCACCCCTTAGGCCTTCATTGCCTTGAATTCATAGCCAGTCTGACTGCTAATCCCAATTGAATTCGATTTCAGCTCAGCGGAAGGCGTTTAAATTGGTGCAACTTTCCACTTCTCTGTTCTCTAATCCTGGCGTTTTGGTTTTTGTTTTCTTTTCCCTTTAGTACTTTGATTTGGGGCTACAATGATGTACCCTGATGCACAACAGCAACAGCACCCACAACATCAGCAGGAACATCCTCAACATCAGCAGCAGCATTTGCAACAACATCAGCAGCAGCATCTGCAACAACACCAGCAACAGCATTTGCAACTACACCAGCAACATCAGCAGCAAGGTGGAGAATTTCATAGAGGCCCGCCGCCACCGGCCCTAATGATGCGTCAGCCGTCGGCTTCTTCAACTAATATGCCCCCAGAGTATCACAACCAACCTGGGCTCGCTCCTCCTTATGATGGTTCGTACCAAATTATGCCTTTGTCTTTGCTATTTTGTTCTGGTTCTTTTGGGTTGGAAATTAATGGAAAAAAAATAAAAATAAAAGAATTTTAAGTGTAGGGAGGTACCTAAACAAGAATTTGGTTGCAATTTACTTCTTTTTTCTGACTGGGATTTTCAACTTTGGATTTACAGTTTTAAAGCGCCACGGCTTTGAATAAAGAATCTGTAAATTAAACACTTAGAACTGGTTTTGGATCTTGAAGTTCTTTAGATATGCAATTTAAAAGGGTATGCCAGTGAGGCGGAAGGTGTAAACAATATTTGAAAATAGTGGTTTAATTTTTCTAAGAGGTTTAGTGCAGAATTTAATGAATTTTCCTTTTCTTTTTAATTTTTTTATTTATAATGAGTGACAAATGGTTTGTTTGTTGCAGCTCATGCTGACAGTTTTCCTGGAAAAAGGATGAAAAAGCTTACACACAGGAGGGCAGTTGATTATACTAGCACTGTAGTGCGATATATGCAGGTAAAGTTTTCATTATTTTGCATGATACTTTTGTTCATGTTTCTTTGACTTTCCTACAGTCATCATTTCAGCAAGAAGTCATCCTTTGATTTGATGGGTACATGTAATTTGGGAGTGCATTGATTTGTTAATTTTTTTATGTTATTTAAACCCATGTATCTTAAAAGTTATGTCCTGCAATATGGTCTTATCTATGCTTAAGGAAGGGACCAGGGTTTTAACATCTCTTCCGGGCCAGAAAACAGTCCAACAGACATCCCTGCAACAACCCAACCACCCCTGCGAAGCACAGATCAGAACAGAAACCACCACACTAAAATTAAAAATAAACTCCCACCCAGAGGTTAAACTCACAAAAGATCACTACGTTATGTCCATCGGATATTTCTGTGTCATTTTCAGGTGAACATAGCCTTTAAGGATTCTGGTTGTCATTGTCTTGTAAACTTGCAAATTTATATTAGTGATCAAGTATCCTAAAATCATTCATTATTGTGTTCAGATTCGAATGTGGCAGCGCGATGCAAGGGATAGAACGGTATTGCAACCCACACCTGCAGCAGCAATTGATGTCAGTAGTCCTTGTTATTTCTATTTCATTTTTTCTTTGTGTTCAAGAAATTCTTAATTGGAAGCATGATGGTAGTCCAATTGTTGTCTGAACTTGGTTATATGTTCATTTTGCATGAATATTGTGTTTTCAATGTAGATGTTGCCGTCAGTTGCCTACTTAGATAATCCATCCACTAGCTTTGCTGCAAAGTTTGTACACACTTCTTTAAACAAGAATCGTTGTCCGATTAATCGGGTTTTGGTAAGTTTCACTACAATTCAGATTTGGTCAAAAGAAAATCTAAATCCTCTTTCTCTATGTGTTTTTTATGTTTTTCTGTGCATCCTTCATTGAGCATGTTGATGTTTTCTTTTTGAGTTTGGAGTTATGTTGTTTGGAGGGAGATTTGAACTTGGGATCCCTATTTTGGAGGGAGGTGTGACTACCGGCTGGCATATTTCCAAAAACTTTTCAATAATGAATAATCTTATTGTTCAACTATCATTTCTGTAGTATTGTTGTTTGATTGACACCTGACATCAATGACATGTAGACGCTGTTGAGAATAACCTCCCTCTTAAGTGGAGGTGCATGGCTTTTGAAATTCCCATGAATTTACTCATGGTAAATGGATGTGGTTGGACATGTATTGACAGAAAGACATGCATTATTCGCATACTGGGTTCTTGGTATTGTATTGAAATTAATATAGTGGTTATTTAGCTGGTGTATTGACGGATAATTATGGCTGGCTCAAGAGAGTTCCATTAGTGGAACAACTGGGTTAAATTTTGTGTATTTAATGCAAGTCGGTGCATTGGTACAAGGAAGTGGCTACTGATTTCTAGCTGCTTCTCGTAAGCCCTATACAAAGGTGGAGGCCTTGGTCGTTTGAAGTATGACTCAGATGGGAATTATCTGAGTGCATGGGATACAAAAGTGGATTTACTCTTGGGTGTGTTACAGGAGTGGGTTTACTGTTGGGTTACTAGAGAGGATATTTCTCTAGGTTGAGAGAGTGATCCGCACGGTTTTAGGGAGGGTGTACAAGGGGTGTATCCTATTGGATATGAGCTCTGGTGTTAAACACTTGAGCGGTTTTACTTTTACGGTTGTATTTTCTCACTGGTCGGCGCGTAATAGAAGAGTTTTGAAGGATTATAATGGAGTGGGGGTAGCAGAACTATGGGGTAGAGTAAGACACTGGGCAGCCCTCTGGGCATCAGTTTTGAATAAGTTCAGGGATTATTCTCTTTCTCATATAGTGTGGTATATGTTAGCAGCCGTAAAATGATTTTGGTTGAGGTTATGTTACTTGTAAATAGATCTACTTGAGAGGTCTTAGCTAGTTTTGCTAGATGGTGGATTTCTTATCCACTATTTTGTAATTCATGTTATTATTTTAATAAAGTGTTATCATTTCTTCTCAAAAAAAAAAAAAAAAACAAAACAAAAAAGGGAATTTTTTGTGTCATTTTATTGGTTTTGTTGTTGAGCTATCCTTCTAATTTTCGCTGTCCTCATCCTCTCTCTTTTTCTTTTTACAGTGGACTCCTACAGGAAGACGTCTTATTACTGGCTCTCAAAGTGGGGAATTCACTCTTTGGAATGGACAATCATTTAACTTTGAAATGATTCTTCAGGTTAGTAGAAGAATTTTGAGGATTATAAGGGAGTGAGAGTAGAGGAACTATGGGTAGAGTAAGATACTGGGCAGCCCTCTGGGCATCAGTTTCGAATGAGTTTAGGGATTATTCTCTTTCTTATTTTGTGATGGATGTGTTAGCAGCCGTAAATGAATTTGGTACAGCTTTAGTTACTTGTAAAGTAGTCCTACTGGAGAGGTCTTAGCTAGTTGGTGGATTTCTTAGCCACTAGTTGTAATTTCTTCTGTTGTTATAATAACTTTCTATAGTTTCTTCTTGAAAAAAAAAAAAATTTAGACGTCCATTTCTTTTAATTACTGTCCAATGGATGTCAGAATGAGAGCTGATTATTTTTTCTTCAATTTCTAGGCTCATGATCAAGCAATCAGGTCTATGGTGTGGAGTCATAATGACAATTGGATGGTCTCTGGTGATGATGGCGGTGCAATAAAGTAATTACAGATATGATTTTTTTTAATTTTTAATAAGTTCTATTAAATGAAAAGTTATGATAGTTTAACTTGTTCATACATATGGGTGTATTTGTTAGGTATTGGCAAAACAACATGAATAATGTAAAGGCAAATAAATCTGCTCATAAAGAATCTGTTCGCGACTTAAGGTAAATTCTCCTGTTTGCATAATATTATTCATTCTGCTTCAGACATTTGTTAACTGGGCTGTTGTAACAGCTTCTGCAAGACTGACTTGAAATTCTGTTCCTGCTCCGATGATAATACTGTTAAAGTTTGGGACTTTGCACGGTGCCAAGAAGAGCGCACACTGACTGGTAAAGTGCTTTGACTACACAATGGATATAGCCTGAGCTTGTTGAGCATGGGTTGCTAGTTCAATCCAAGTACTTCTATATGATGTTATTGATATGTTGTTATCTGTACAATAAAAGAAATGCATACCCTTCATCCAAAGCTCTAAACACATAGACATCCATTTTCTATGTGAAATTGAATTCATCTTAATATTATATTTTCTCTCTTTATTTATTATTTTAAATACGTTTCCCATTCAGATTTGTAAGGGAAAACCTTAGGATCTAGATTCCTTTTCAATGTAGCTTTCATAATTGGTAACCCTGGTTGCCTACCAGAAATTTTCTGGTTTTGGCAATGGATTGGAATGTTGTGACAGAAATATACTTTATTTCGAAGTGTTAGATTGTTTCTGGGGATTTCTTGTTTTCTACAACAACAACCACCACCACCAAGCCCTATCCCACTAATTGGTCGGCTATATGAATCTTAGAACGCTACTGCGCTTGGTTTAGCACCAAGTTTTCTGTTAGCTCCAAGTACTCCATATCTTTTCTTAAAGTCTCTTTCAAGCTCTCTTTCCAAATACTCCAATTTCTTGTTTTCTGCATTACGTATTTTGACACCCAGTAAACTGGTGTTTATTGGGACCTGTTTGTTTATTTACATTTTGTTGTATTGAGAAGTGGGAGTTGCTATATATTTAGTTAATTTGGGTTAGTATGACTTGAGATACATCACATCAACCAAGTTAAACATATACTATGGCTGGTTGAAAATCACAAGTTTGTGAAATGAAGAGTCCATTTCCTCAAATTTTTGTTAATGGAGAGTATGTTTACCCATTTCAGCATGTGCTTTGAGTATGCGTATGAGAAAAGCTTCTAAGTGGGATCTCGCATTGTGGGACCCCTAGCTGTTTGAACAGCCAATATAGTTGTTTCCCTCCCTCCTTAAATGTCAGGAAGTATTACCAGGGTGTAAAGTTGGGTTAGCTAGACCATAAGACCAAAAGGGGTTTTGACTAAAATTTAACTTCGAATGGCACAAAATCTTGTTTAAAAAGTGATCCCTAGTCTGTAAGTTTGGGACTGCTTTGATGCTTCATCTAAATGCATAGAGCATGTAGCATTCTCAGTACTCGGGATATGTTGTTGATCTATTGTTGGAATACTTTATTGGGTGCAAAGCAGAAAATCCATGAACAGATTATCTTAGATTCACAACTGCATTAAGTTTCTTTGTTTATAAAGTTTTTGACGTCATGTTCTTGGGATTTGCATGCTTAAGAAGTGCATGGAGTAACCTTAGAATTTCTCTATGTGGTTTGAACTCAGGCAGGCCATGGTTGGGATGTGAAGAGTGTTGACTGGCACCCTACTAAATCTCTACTAGTTTCAGGTATTTGCAAAAATTCTCTTCCAAGTTGATATCGAGATCTTATTGTAAGTCAATGTTTGATTACTTCAATATGGTTGGGTTACACTGTAGGTGGGAAAGACAGTCTTGTTAAACTTTGGGATGCTAAGTCAGGGCGAGAACTCTGTTCGTTGTAAGTAGAGAGATATTGCAGTTAAACCTGTAAGTTATTTATTATTTAAATTTCTATTAAAATGTTATGCATGTCTTTGCAGTCATGGCCATAAAAATATGGTGCTCTCGGTTAAATGGAACCAAAATGGTAACTGGGTGCTAACTGCTTCGAAGGATCAACTCATCAAGGTTGGTGGCCAATTTTTTTTTTCTTCTGAACTGTCACTTAAATTGATAATGGATCTCTTTGTTCATTGAAAATTTATAGTTTCCTCCTGTGGCTGATGATATTGTTGCACCCCATACTCTCAGGTTTATGACATAAGGGCCATGAAAGAACTTGCATCCTTCCGCGGGCATCGAAAGGATGTGACTGGTCAGTGAAGTTTCTTCTGATATCACCTTAGTATTTCTCTTATCTTGTCACTAATAGGTGCCACCTTCGATGTTTCCTTAATGCCTTGGTGTTTGGACTTACCTTTTTTGGTTATCCTGATCAATCCATCTTAATATTCTTATCTCTGTGTACATTTTTTTTTTTTTTTGGATAGGAAACACAATGACATTAAAGAGAGAGAAATAGTTTTCACAAAAAATAAAGAGAAAGAATTAGCATAAAACAGTGTAAAAGATGTTCACCAGATCAAAGATCTGGAGAGCTCTAAAACAAAACAAAAAAAAAAAAATTAGCACAGAAACAATGGACACTTATTACAGCTGCATTCCTATTTGAAAGCTTGCAAAGAAAGAACTCTCTCGCAAAAATACTCTACCTGCCCACCCACTCACATTGTCAAATACCCTACTTTGACACTCCACTCATAGAATATCTCTGAGCAAACCCTGATAGAATTGCTCAAAAGAGAACCCTCTCCGACAAATACTCCACCTCACCACCCACTCACATTGTCAAATGTCCTTCTTTTACTCTCCACTCATATTACATGAAAAGCAGCCATCACACGGCGCATCTTCCTAGAACCATAGCCTTCTTCCTCTTGCCATAAAGCTAATGAATCTCCCAAAATAAAGCCTCTCTCATGTTTGATAACCCAACTTAGATGGCCTCACTGAACAGCTTTAACCAGAACCATTGTCTCTGCTACATTCATACATTACCCTTGCTTTTATTAAAAGTAATATTGGCCCCATAAAGAATAGCTAACCTAATGACAGTTCTTTTCAAATGATTTTGTGTTTTTTCTTTCACAAAAGGATACCTCCATTTCGTCCATCAAACTCTTATCATCTATTTTCTCGAAATTTTGCCTTATTGGTCCCAAGTATCCCATTTTGTTCATCCCTGTTGGATTGTTTTTATTATTTCTGGTACTGTTTGGCATTATTGTTGACTCTTATTAAATTTCTCATGGATGAGCGTCATTATGATTATTGTTTGTTGTAACTTGTATTATTAGTATTGCAAAATATTTCTGTTTGGAAAACTTCCTCCCATTTCCCTTGCATCTTTATTATGCACATGCCTCATCGATGGAGCGCCAAAGTTAATGTGCTCAAGATATTAATCAACATTTTATATGTATATATTGTATAATATTTATGGTTGTCATTCTTTGACATTTTGTCAGCTCTGGCTTGGCATCCGTTTCATGAAGAATATTTTGTTAGTGGGAGTTTTGATGGATCCATTTACCATTGGATTGTTGGGTAAATTCTATTCTCAATCCTAGTACCTCCTATGATCTTCAGTTTCCTTTATGATTTACTCTTAATTAAGTGCACATATGTATTTTCTAAACCTTTTAATTTTACATACTTGTCTTTGTTGCAACACGTATGTATTTTCTAGAAAGAAATGAATGGTTTAGAAAGTAAGGAAACCCATATTTTAATTCTATTAGATTATAAGGCAACCCTTTGAACCAAATTAGTCATATAGATATGGAAAGTGTAATCTGTTATCAGGAAGCATATATGTAACTGATCCATCTTGAGGGGAGAAGGGACAGTATCAGTGCTTCTTGGAACTTAAGTATCACAGAAAATGCTGGAAATAATTAAGTGAGGAAAAATAATAGTAAGATATCTTATGAATTAATAATAGTGAAATATAAATTGCTTTATTGCAAAGATGTATTATTGACAAAAAAAAAAAAAAAAAAAAAGACGTATTACATATTTACAATTTATGCCCTTTTAGATGACTGGAGAAAATGACGATATCTTCAAGTTTTCAGTACGAATTACTATTATTATGTTCATATGGATCTTCATTATAACCTGGAAGTTTCTGAAAGCTAAAATATCCTGATGCACAGGCATGAAACTCCCCAGGTTGAAATTCCCAATGCACATGATCACAGTGTGTGGGATCTTGCATGGCATCCTATCGGTTATCTTCTCTGCAGGTATGTATTACTTGTCTTCATAACGTGTTTTCTGTCTTTTTTTTATTAATATCTTCCCCCTTTCAAACTTTTATGTTATAGATGTGAATTGTGAAAATTGCCAAAACTGGAATGCTCCCAAAACCAATTCACTTTATCATTAAGTTTACTTGTAAAATGATCTCCTAAGATGGCCTACCTTTGATTTTCCATTTGTGAATGCAGATGCCTCAAAAGCTATGTCATTAAAGCATTCAATTTTTGACAGAGCACTTTGTCCTAGGATTTAGTGGCAATTCCAAGATGCTCTGATGATTTTTTCTTTTCTTTTTTCCTTTTCCTGTGTTAATGAATCTCAAGGGAACTAACATATAGGAAACTGGATGAAGAATAGAAACTATGTTGGGTTTGTCCTTAATCACTTTGCTGGCTGTGAGGTTGCTGTTATAAATTTTTATGTGAAAGTGGAGCATAACACGTCATAACGTGAGTTTGCTTCTTGACCGTAATGCAATTTCGTACAAAAATTGCTAGAAGTTTAGATCAACGGGAACCACCTATTTTAAAACCTTGTGATTTGTCAGAGGAGGCATGTCTCTGGAATAAGAACATTCTTTGTGCCCTGAGTTGTTTCCCTTAACTTATGGATTGGATCTTATTTGTTTAATACGAGTTGTGTATTTGTCTACTACCTTTACCAAAATCCAAATTCCGTAGTGATTGGACTTCGTTTAGATGTGTCTAATGTTCGGCCAAGGATCAATGAGCATATGGTATTGATGTTTTGGATTTTTTGTTATGGAATAATATTGGTGTACTCTCAACAAGCTAGTGTCACAATTCTCTGAAATACTGTTTTGGTTTGGCAGTGGCTTCATTTACTTTTATTGTTCTTCTGCAGTGGTAGCAATGATCACACTACGAAGTTTTGGTGCAGAAATAGGCCAGGAGATACTGGTCGTGATAAATCTAACACCAGCCAAAATCAAGGTAGTACTTTGCCACCCCCAAATCAAAATGGTAAACTATATAGCCCATTATCTTATCAAATAGATGTCATATTTTAAGCATTTTACGTTTGACTTGTGCAACACCAAGCATGACTCAACATTTCCCTTTAAGGGTATATTTTTATTTAAAAAATAACTAATGTCGTCAGCATTTAGGATATTTTGTTTTCAAGTTTGTGTATGACATGGTCTTAATACTCGATATGCTACGTACAGGGGGTCATATTATAGAGAAAAATGCGCATATAAGTGTGTGCGCGGCGCACACAAAAACCCACCCTCCCACACCCTGCATATGAATTTGTAGTTTAATTAAGGTAAATGTGTCCTGAATTGATCAGCGCATCATGTTATTTTTATTTTTCTCAGGTTATGGTGAGCAAAACCCTGCTTTTGGTGGTCGCATGACTGGTAATTTTCCAGTACCTGAAGGACCACCAACTCCTGGACCCTTTGTTCCTGGGTTGACTCGAAATGAAGGAACTATTCCAGGTGTTGGAGTTGCTATGCCGTTATCTCTTGATGCATCAAATCAGGGGGAGCAACAGCAGCCTCATGCACTTTCGATGGCGTTAGGTGCTCCACCTCTCCCGCCTGGTCCACACCCGTCTCTTCTTGCTGTGAATCAGCAGCAACAATATCAGCAAATTCCTCAACAGATGCCACAACACCAACACCAACACCAAGGTCACCCGCAACAAATGCCCCCTATGTCTATGGCACCTCCAAATATGCCACATTTGCAGCCTCCATCCCATTTACCCTTGCTGCCACATCCTCATTTACATCGACCGCCACCCCAAATGCCACCACTTGGTATGCCATCTTCAGGGCCTGTATCTATGCCTTCATCTGTTCCTACCTCACATTCAATGCCAATGGTATGCCATCTTTTTTCACAGAATTATTTATTACATTTATTCACGTCTTATTTTTATAAATTGGATCCCCCTGGAATATTGTTTTATAAGTTAGATATTCTTACTTCAAGAAATAGTGAAGATTGCATTCGGTTTTAGAACGATCCTTGTTGCCTATGTACTCCTGGAAAATCTCATAGTTGGTGGTAATTAACATTAGTTTGGTTCCTTAGGGAATTCAAGGTACAATGAATCAGATGGGTCACCCATTGCCACAAGGTCATTTTATGGGCATGAACCCAATGCACTCGGGATCTCTGCCTACAAGTGGAGGTTTTCCAAATGGTATGCCAAACATGCAGGGCGCAACAAATGCAAGTGGAGCTCAAATGTATCCTCAGGGTGGCGCCTTCAATCGGGGTCAGCCTGGGCAAATGTCCATGCATCCGGGGTATCCTTATCAGGTAAGACAAAAATTTGTACTTGGTGGTACAGAAATTTTCATAAATCTCAACATTAACTCGGGAAAAGCTAATTTGACCTTGTCTTGCATATTGCAGTCTAGGGGTCAATCTGGTATGCCCCAACCTCCACCGGGGCCACCACTGCACGGGCAAACACCTCAGTAGACCATTTTATATCGGCCTTGACTTTAATCCTCCCGATCTCCTCTCTCCTTTCTCCCCACCCTCTCTTCAGGCCAGCTTGTTTACATGTAAATCCTGTCATACGGCTTGGTAGGTTTTTCCTTCGGCATAGAATTTAATCATTGAGATAACTTGGTCGAGCAAACAGAAATGTTGCACTTGGCGTTGTGCGTCTGCAGGTGGTTTTCTAGTCTGCCATCAAATCCCAGGTTAAACCCGGACAGAGTGGAAGCTCCTCCTAAGATCTACGTCTTCTGTTCGTTTTTTTGTTTATGTACTGCGGCCTAGAATCGACTCAATTGAGATAGCTTGCTTGAGCAAACAAGAGATTTTATTTAAATTGTCTTTAAGGCAATTTTTGGCCTCAAAGTGGCGGCGCTAAGAGAGATTCCGGACACTGTAGAATGTGCCATCCAAATTTTGGCAAGTATTTGCTATGTTGTGACCTTGCTCCAAGTACCCCAATGAACTCCTTTCTGAGTGCTTTTTTGTCCCTCCACCAAAACCTTGATAGTAGTCTTTCTTTTTCCTTGCATAGATTGACCGGCAGTTTCAAGCTTGACATTGCAGAATCGGGTAATGCCGAGGCCACAGCTTTCAGTAGAACCTCTTTACCCGCCGGAGATAAGAAATGTTCCGCCTAGCCATGAACCCTCACCTCCACCATTCCAGACATCGTCAGTACCTTCTTCGAAGCACCGTCCGCCTGCAATCCAAGATGATCTTCATCACTTCCATCAATTGCTTCTTAGGTCTTTTTGTGTGCTCTCCCACAGTCAGACTATTTGCCGAGATTTGAAAGCCATGTAGACAACCATCTTCCTTCCTCCTATTAAGTGCAGATAAACCCTCCCGCATTTTAAAAACAAGACTGGAGAGACTGGATCACCTTGTCTTAATCCCCGACTTGGTTGAATAAGTCCTGAAGGTTCCCATTGACCAGAATGCTATATGTCACAGATGCAACACAGATGGAAAACTAGATTTTTAAACGACATATATCGACTGGTATGAAATTGAAGTGAATGGATCTTTTGCATTGATGAACATAGAATTATAATCAATTTACACAAAACCACTAGTGAGAGTGGATCACAGAATTTCAAAATTTTGAAGCATCTTCGGTTGCTCCTCTTCAAACAAGGTTTGAGGTATGTCACATTCCGATATTTCCAGATTATCGAGAGAGGTGAGATTGTGAAATCTGTTGGGTAGGAACTTGAGATTTGGCAGTCGCTGAAGCTGAAGAGAGGATAAACTGATAGGCAACAGCCAATCCTCTGGGAATGACACCAGTCCTTGACAACCACCAAAGGCGAGGTTGGTGAGACAAGTGAGTCTGTGCAGCCCCCACTCGAACGAAGGCTTGAAGTTTTCACAATCCATGATCGACAATGAAGATAGATTAGTTGGCAATCCACCATCTGGAAATGAGACGAGACTAGGGCAACTTTCTATGCATAGTTCTTGAAGAGACGTGAGGTTGTGCATACGTTTTGGTAGGGACTTGAGGCTTCTACAATCAGAAACTTTAATTGCTTTCAGCATGGAGTTGGGTAGGTCAAATTCCGCGATAGACTCGACAAGTGGACACTCAGTAATTGCCAAATTATTGAGATGTACAAGGTTGTGCAGACCTTCAGGTAAGAACTGGAGGTTGGTGCAGTCATTGATGATGAGCTGTTTAAGGTTCATGACTACGCCGGATGTTACTGCAGGGAGACCAAAAGTACCTCTCGGAAAGGATGTAACAGAAGGACACCCGGAAATCTTAAGAAATTCAAGAGAACTATTATTGTGAATCATGTCCTTTGGAAGGGATTCCAAATTTTTGCAGTTTTGGATTTCAAGTTCTTTGAGTGTGCTGGGAAGCTCACCTTTCGGAAACGACTTCAGAGAAGAACAGCCTTCAATTACCAAGTACTCAAGCGGAAAACACAAGTCATTACTGTTCTGCATCTTCCATTCTGGTAGGAGTTGGAGAGCATCACAACCCTTGATCTCAAGGCCTCTAAGCGTGGAAGGAAAACCTGTTTCCGGAAAGCATACAAGTGAAGGACATCTCCAAACTTTAAACTCCTTAAGAGATGAGAGTTGGTGCAAGCATTGTGGCAACTCCTGTAAGAATGGACATCCTGAAATTTCCAAGCGTTGGAGGTGCATGAGATTTCGCAATCCAATCTCATTAGACAAAGTGACCATCTCGCTGAGATGCACAATCTTCAACTCTTCAAGAGCTGTCAAGTGTTGTAGAAACCCTTCAAGTAGACGTGTTGGCCCGGGAATTTGATGCAAATGCAAGTAGGTCAGCGAGGAAAGTCCAACTATACTTCGTAGTATCTCCTCATTGCACTTTTTAAGTTCCAACTCCCTGATCAAAGGGAGCTTGGGCAGCTCTGTTAGTTCTTGACATCCATTTATCTCGAGGACTTGCAGAGACGGAAATATGCTAGGTAATTCCCTTAGGTTGGGACATGTCCATATAAAAAGCTCAAGGAGGTTAGGGAATTCTCCGCGTTGCTCTAAACGATTATCTGTCTTTGAAAGGCTTGGAAGAGCAATCAATTCCTCACACCACTTAATTCTCATTTTTCTCAAGGCTGAGAAGTTCTGAGAGAACTTTTTGAGCTTTGGACAGTTTAGAATTTCAATCTTTTTCAGGCAACAGAAATCTTCCCGTCCTTCAACCCCAGAAGAAGACCACTCCTCCCAGTTTATCATGTAGTCAAATTTTAGGGTCTCCAACGACGGAAATGGAAGGACAGATGAATGGTAATCCCCATAGAACTCGGCGCCTATACTTGTTATGCCCTCCATCCCTTCAACAATGAGGTCTTTTAGTGAAGGAAGTTGCCCGAGTGCCGGCAGTCGTGTACACTTCCTGCAGTTGATGAGCTTTAAATATAGAATATTGGAGAACAATGGGGACGCAATCCAACTGGGGAATTTTGTGCCTCCATAGTCTTCAATCGTAACTTTTTTTATATTTTTATGAGGTTGCAGCATCTCGAATACAACCATCTCAGATCTTTCATTTCTTGAACCATCCATACTGTTTCTCCTTTTCAACCTTAACTCATTGGCCTCTTGTTCATAAGCATCCATGGTTTCCTTAAAACTCGGAAATCTCGTAACACTACTAACCTCTGATGTTGAGATCGTCTAGGATTCTGTGAACTTGTGGCATGTCAGAAACATCCTCTTCATCTGTATCAGCGAGCGAATCATCAGAACTGTCACTCCATTGGAACACCAAGTGATCAAGTCCTTCCTTGCCCTTCAGATTAGCCTCCATTGCATCTACAAAATTCACAACATTCTGCAGTCCTGAAATGATAAGGGATCCCTTAAGTTGCAGCATGTCGCTCAAGTCTTTAATTCCACAGCCATTCTCCCTACCTACCATAAAATTAGACAAGGATTGGAGATTCTTCAGTCTACACATTTGCAGTGGCATCTCTTTTAATCTGCTTCCGTCAATATGAAGATGGCGTAGGCTTGTCAGGTTCCCCATTTCTGCTGGCAACTTAGTGAGAGAGCGACATTCTACTAATAACAATGTTTGTAAATTGCAAAGCATACTCGTAGAATCAGGCAACCTTTTAATTGCAGTGCGAGAGAGGTCCAGATAGCGTAGATGCTTTAAATTGCCTATTGTGTCTGGCAGTTCAGTAATACGACAAGCATTGAAAGATAGCACTCGCAGATATCGCAACTTTGGAAGTAGATCACGAGGGACTTTGTTAGCCAAATAGCTAAATCCAGTTCCGTCTGTTGGATCCAAATCATCCAGCGGAAGGAAGGTGCGTAAGCACTCAAGTCTGCTGAAGGAGTCAAACCTTGTAGTGAACTCACGTTGGCGGCGAATATATGAAGAATGGCGAGCCTTCTCATATGCTTTGTATTGATTGCTGTCGTCGACTTTATCCTCCAATCTGAAACAGAACTCTCCAGAAACAAATTGAGCTAGCTCTTTCATGAGGTTGTGCATTACAAATCTTGATCGATTGTGAAGTGATTGTTGAAAGAATGATCTGGATACCAGCTCCTGAAAATACTCACTGCCGACATCTTCCAAAGTTTTATTTCCTTTTGGTTGCTCAAGCAAACCTTCCGCCATCCACAACAGAACAAGTGAATCTTTGTTAAATTCAAATTCCGTTGGGAACAAGGAACAGTATGCGAAACACGGCTTCAAATGTGCAGGAAGGTGATGGTAGCTTAATCTTAAAGTCTGAAGGATGTTACTTTCATCATCTGGTAGATCCCATATTTTCCTACTGAACATATCCTTCCATTCATCTTCTTCCCTTCTAGAGTGCAATAGGATTCCAAATCTTTTCACTGCCATGGGCAAACCATCACACCTGTTGACAATCTCCTTACCAATGGCTTCGAGATTAGCATCAATGATTCGATTCTCAAATGCTTGGCTCTTGAACAATAACCAAGAATCTTCAAATGATAAACCTGTCAAATGATAAGCTGGAACCGTACCCATGCTTGATGCAACATCGCTGTTTTGCGTTGTTACAATTATCTTGCTTCCGCTTCTCCCTGCTCTGAAAGGAATCCATGAGAGATCCCAATCATCATTCCTCTTGTTCCAAACATCATCCAAAACAATCAAGAATCTCTTTCCAGCCAATTTTTCTTTCAAACAAACTTGAAGTAGATTCAAGTCATCAAGATCAACATTTTTCATATTGACTGACTCGAGAATTGTTTTCGTCACCCTCACTGCATCAAAATGATCAGACACAAACATCCAAATTTTTAAATCGAAATGCTTGTCCACTCTTTCATCATTGTAAATCAGTTGTGCAAGAGTCGTCTTTCCAATTCCAGCCATGCCAATGACAGGAACTACACCAACCTTTCTACTAGTTGGTTCATCACATAACAAAACTCGAATTATCTCCTCTTTGTCACAGCTCCTGCCGTAAACACATGATTCATCTACCAACGAAGTTGTTGGTGATCTATGTCTAAAGGCTAGAACATTGTCTTTCAACCCAAGAACATTTTTATATTGGGCAATCAATTCCAACCTCTCAATTATCTTACCAACTTATGTTCGATCCCTCTACTAGATGGACTGAGAGAGGTAGAAATACGGTTCCAATTCCATACCTGTTTAGTGGTGGCCGGAGATTCAGCTGCCATCTTACAAGCCAAGGCTTCGCTAGCAAGATCATCTAGTAAGTCCTCGGCATCATAGAGCGCATCTTTAGTCATGTGCAACCACTTCTTCACAGCAACGTTGTAAAACTGCTTCTCCTCGGCATCATTAAGCAGCGTCGTAACAGTCAGAAGAGTGACCTTCAACTTGTCCAGCAAGTCATCGTACTTCCTCCCGCACAGTAAGCCTACAAACTCATTGGAAGCCAATCTGTCAAACAAAACTTGAAGAAAGGCAGAAAGAAAGGCCTCTCCGATGGCCATTGTTCCTTTCCAGGTAAGAAAAGTGAAGAGAGAAACAAAAAGCACTTCTAGAGGTTGATTTCTAACAGTGAATACTTTTGGCTTATGCTTATGCAACTTCATAAGAAATGCTTCTTCTTTTTTTTTTTTTAAGCTTCCTGGAAGTTGCGTTTGCAGCTGCCAGGCCAGGCCAAGTCAACACAATACTTCTATGTACTGATGTTTTTTCTAGATGGTCAAGTCTGTCGGCAAAGAGTCAATACAACACAAATTGTTACAGGGTCATTAAATTAAATTCCCAGAGTATCCCTATTTCTTTGATTTCCCCTCTTAACCTTCATCATCGTATCCTAGTGTGATCGTAATCAAATGGACGCAGTCAGATTGTAACATTCTGTGTAAACGATATTTACTGTATAAATGAACAAACTATATCGTAACGAATGAGTTTCTCTTGGCATCCTTTACATTTCTAGTGATTTTCTATCATTTGAATTGCGGAAGTTTACTGTACGGAAGATTTTATGTTTGTAGTCGACGATCAAATTTTACAGTGATATGAAACTTTCCGATGACATTTTGATGGGGAGTTGAGTTCTAATGGATAGAGTCACCCGAAACGCTGCATGGATTGAGTTCTAATGTTTGTAGTTTTTATATTTTTGGAAATTGTTATTGGCTTTCCAAAAATCTCATTCTGCATTCTAAACTTTCTATATTTGAAAAGAAAAATTGAATAAGATTTTTGGAATGCCAATAACATTTCCCATATTTTTATTTTTTTTATTATTTTGGTTAACTGGAATTTATAAACAGGGCAAAGATGCCAAAGATTACAACGAAAGCCCACAACAAGGCAAACAAGCAAATAACAAAGCTAGAAGTGCAAGGGGAAGAAAGCCGACACTACCAGGAAGCAACTAGCGTCACTCCTTGCACCACCAAAGAAAATTAATGTGGGCAAGGCAGTCCATCTTTATTAAGTACATGAACAAGTGAAGATGGGTGTCTGTCAACCCAAGTAAAGTCACACATCTCCACACAACTGCATTAAAGGAATTGCCAACTTTCTTACACCTTGTTAAGATGGGGGTTTGTAGTTTGACTCCATTAAAGCTTCATGTTTTAATTTGACGAGCACAAAGCTGGGGTTTGACATTAGCATTACACGCTGGCAAACCATCGCACCTTATTGTTCTTTGTACACGAATTACAAAGATTACATATAGAGAATCACAATTTGTTCAAGAAAAAAAATATCAAATTAACCCAGAGAATTAAATTTGGTAAAAAAAAAATTCAAATATTAATAATTTCTTTATGATAACGGGAATATGAACAGTGGTTTTCCAGAACAATAATGAGTTTAAGAAGAAATTTAAAAAAAAAAAAAAAAACTAATGAAAAAAGGTTTTAAATTAATCTTTGCATTTAATAAAAAAAATCATCAACTAACTTTATTTAATGATTATTACCAAAGGCGAATTTGAATTATATTATTGCTAGCTCATTGCTAAACTCATCATCATCCTCTTATTATAGATAATATCGATTGTTCAAATAAAAAATCATTTACTAACTTCCGCCCACCTCCCCTCGTCCTCCTTTCCTTCTTTCCACTCTTTTTTTTTTTCCGTTGTCTTCAGAGTTTGTTTGTTTTTTCTTTTTTCTTTTTAGAATAAGAGAAAGACTTCAAATTGATTACATTTCCCAATTTTATTTTTGTTGTGGTGTTTCCCAATAGTAGTTAAGATGATGAGAGATTTTTCAATGTACTCGGAACACAAGGTGGTACACCAAGTGTCTCTATACAAGTGGTGAGATTCTTGTGTTAAAAAATTAATAACATAAAAAATAAAATTTCCCACCATTTACATAATAACACATGTTGTACCACTTGTGTTACGAGCAGAAGGACAATTTTCTCCAACCCAAGCTAAAGAAATTGGATGGAGAGCTACATTTAATTATTGTAGGTATGTACAAAATGTGAGGGAATTTTAATTTGGTAATTGAAAACAACTTTTTAAATATAATTACTGAAGACATAATCGGTAAGATCTCACATTGACCAAGCCGCCCCTCCCTATAGCACGAGGCTTTTTGAGAACTCACTGGCTTCGGATCACATAAAAACTTCAAAGTTAAGTGAGTTTGGGCGAGAGTAGTCCTAGGATGGGTGACACCCCTGGGAAGTTCTCGTGCTGAAACCCAAAAACAAAACCGTGAAGGAATGGTAAGCCAAGAGCGGATAATATCGTACTACGGCAAAGTCGAGCTGGGATGTGACAATTTGGTATCATAGTCACTCTGCCGTTCGATGCAGATGCGCTGGCGAGGACGCTAGGTTCCCCTTAAGTGGGGTGGATTGTAAGATCCCACATCAACCAACGGAGAAGGGGGTGATGTGTCTTATATGTACATAGTCCCCTCCCTATAGCACGAGGCCTTTTGGAAACTCACTAGCTCCGGATCCCATAAGAACTCCGAAGTTAAGTGAGTTTGGATGAGAGCAGTCCTATGATGGGTGATCCCCCCTCAGGGAAGTTCTTGTGCCGAAACCTAAAAATAAAACTGTGAGGGAATGGTAAGCTCAGAGCGGACAATATCGTGCTAGGTGGAGTCAAGCTGGGATGTGACATAATCTTCTCAAGATTTTGATCTAAATGGTTCATCGTTTTAGGTGTAATAGGTGTTTTTACAAGACCAAAAAGGGTCTAAATTTCAAACCTTATGAAACTGAACTAAGAATTAGACACTATTTATAAAACTTAACCAATAAGTAGACACTATTCATGAAACTAGACCAACAAGTAGACATTATTTATGAAACTAGACTAATAAGTACACACTATTTATCAAACGAAACCCAAGAATTAGGCACCATTTCTAAAACTAAACCAATAGGTGGAAACTATTTATGAAATTGGACCAAGAATTAGATGCTATTTATGAAACATGACAAAGAACTAGGCACTATTTATGAAAGTGGATCAATGACTAGACACTATTTATGAAACCATACCAAGAAAGAGACATTTATGAAATTGTACTAATTATTATACATTATTTATGAAACTGGACCCGATTAATAGACACTATTTATGAAACATGACCAAGAACTAGGCACTATATATAAAATTGGGCCAATAAATAGTGTAGTACCATTCAATTTCGTAAATAGTGTTCAGTTTCATAAATAATGTTCAATTTTGTAAATAGTGTTTCAGTTTCATAAATAGTTTAGTTTCATAAATAGTATTCAATTTCATAAACAGCGTCTTTGATGGACGCACAAGTCCCACGCGTCTAGTCTTTTTTTTATAATTTTTTTATATTAAAATTATGTCATTTTCATGAAAAATTAAGTTCTTTTATTAAAATATAAGGGTTTTTCATTAATATTTAATTCTTTAAAATCCCAAAATAAAAAACCCTACCAACAATCTAAACACCAATATATATATATATATATATATATGAATTTTCATAATGTATTTGGAAGCGGATTTACGATTTATTGAGCAACAAACTATCATATTCTTGTTCTTCAAAATATATTCTTCCGTGCATGGAGCTCAACTTATCTTCTTAGCACCTAGGAGTTTGCCTCGTTCTACGTGCACGAAGGCCACCTTGTCTTGTATGCCTCAATATCCCTCTCTTCCTCTTTTTACTTGCAATCCTTTTGTGTTAGAGTTACAAACTAAATAGTGTGATAAATTGCACCCGCTTCACTCCTGTCCTGGGTAAAAGTTACCTCTTCAACGTTTGTCTATTTATAACAAAAGGCTCCTTTTTTTTTTTTTTTGGTCGAAACCAAAAGGCTTTTTGGGTCTTTGAAAATGGCAAATCCTAAAATTTATCCACACATTTGGAACCAAAAAGCAAGGATTGTTGTGGCTTATTTTAATCTAACAGGGGAGATAGGAACACAACAGAGAGAGTAGAGAGAAATGTGTTTCTAGAGTTGTGTAGATAATGTTATTCCCCTACACAGTGCCTTTATTTATAGTAATAAAGGAGGGAATAATCATTCTCCTCTAAGGAATACAAGTCCTGATAGGAAAAAAATAACTAGTATAAAATCTAATCTAGGATTTACACAATCACACTCAAATACAATGTTTATAACAGGGACCAAATTTTTCTTTATTTGATCTAGACTTTTTTTTTTTTTAATAAACAATATTATCTGCAATAATGTAGTTCAAATTCGTTTTTGACAAAAGTGTAGTACTAATTGGCAATTCATCTAGAATTAAAATTTTCTTCTTTAATTTACTGTACTTCAAATTTAAATTATTTATCCTTCATTTAATTTAATTTAAAATATAATATCGTTTGTTTTTTTTTATTCTTAAATGGATACATATAATAAAAATTTGGGTGCCAATAAAAGGCCAAAAACAAAAATTTGGGTAACCACAGCGCAGCACGGAGTCGTAAGTGCCAAGTAAAAATCGAAACCACGTGCGTTCTTATTTTCTGGGGAGTAAAAAGTCGGCCAAGTAACTGAACAAACCTCCAAAGCGGGCCACCAGGAAAACCAAAAAACCAAACCTCCGCCCGCAGTTCCAGTCCTCATCAAATCATCGCATCCCCCTCCTCTTCGATTCCTAATTCCCTTCCAATTCGAAATTCAAAACCCTAATTTATCACTCAATGTCCCCTTAATTCCATGCCCTAATCCTCTTTTTTTTTTTTCTCACTGCGATCCCCAATTCAGTTCCATGGAGGACTACACGTCGTCCTTCTCCGACCACAAGCTCTGCGGCTTCCTCTGCGCCGTTCTCACTGTCACTTCCTCCCCGGTCCGCCGCCAAACCCCATCTTTCGGCACCCGCTTCCGAATTTCCCAATCCGACGTCAATTTCACTTCCCAAAACGGCTTCGTCCTTTCCCCCATTGACCCAGTTCCCCGCGCCGATGTCTCGGCTGAGGAGCCTAAGCAATGCGAGGTTCCGGTGCGGGAATTGGGAAGGAAGAGGAAGGTCCCGGTGGTGGCGGAGAGGAAGATT